TTGAAAAGGGGCTGCTGGATGTTCTGGGCATATGCGCTCTTTAATGACTCTGGTCTGACAGGTTGAACAACAGACTAGCTCTGAGAAGCCTCAGAGGAAAAGCTCCACCTTGCAGGCAGGTGACTTCGGCTCTTCACCTTTCTTCAGCTGCATAGCAGGGATGGCTGAGCACACCTGGTGTCTTGGTACTGCAAGTTTAACTGATGTAACTTTTATTGTAAGAAACATCTACTTCTGTTCCTGCCAGGAAGAACCCAATCGACTGGGTTTAAGATTAAAGAAAGGCCCAAGCCTTCCATCCCTGAAGTTTTCAGCAGATTGGATGGACAGGTAAGAGGCCAGCATTCAACCCAGTTCTGGACCCCACTTACCCCTCTGCAGCTCAGCCTCAGGGAACCTAAATGAGCGTCACAGAATTAACAGAGTGGAAGGAACCTCAGAGGCCACCCAGCCAGTCAAGTCTCTCAGGCTCCTGATAAGGACTCAGAGCTGCAGAGCTGAGAAGTGCTATCCCTGATGAACCACACAGGTAGTGGCAGAGTTGGGAGAGCTCAGAACCAAGGTCCCAGTAGAGACTCAGCCACTTATCAGAATTATGTGTGAGGAGGAGGCTGGGACACAGGGAATAGTGTTAAGAATATATGTGTATATTAAAAGAAGAAGAAGAAGAAAAAAAGAATATATGTGTTCATATGCTAGAAAGGCCATCCAAACCCACATCAAATCACTCCCACTCTGTGCGGCTGTACCTACCCAGGACCTCCAACCGCTACCCACACCAGGGCAACAAAAGAGAAACAGGGACTGACGTCCAATTGACAGATTTTTTTTATATTTAAAAACAAAATCAACCTTCCCCCAAGTAACCCCCCAAACAAACAAAAAATCAGATTAAATAAAATTTACAGTGAATATACCTAGCAAACATCTGTATGTGCAATTAAATACTGTGTCTGTTACTGCGGCACAAACCTCAAACAAACAATATACAAGTGTTCTGGGGGGGTAGGGGGAGGCCCCAGTTTTAACTTTGTAGGGCTTGGGGTGACAAGATGGGGAAAGTGAGAAGAAAGGGAAATCAATTTCATTTTTCTTAATTCTTTCCATATAAATATATTCATAAAGACCAAAAATGAAAAGGGAGCTTGGGATGGTAAGGAAATTAGGAGAAGAGGGGAGTGTAGAACCCTCCCAATTCTACCTGACCAAAAAATATGAAAGAAATTCATTTCATGGTGGGAGAAGAGATAAAAAATGATGGAAGAGGTTGGGAAAGGAGGGGGTAGCAGAGGGAGGCCAACCAGGGAAAGAGGGGGCCCACGGAGGGAGTAAGGAGTCCAGCGCCAGTGTGTCTGTCTCTGTTTCTATCTTCATCCCTACTGTCTTAGGCTCCAGTTTAGTGTCTGTCACCTTCCTTTCTCCCTCTGTCCATGGTCTGCCAGGGAGTTATCCACCTTGCCCCCACCCCTGCTGTGCGAGTCCCTTCCCCTCATATTTACTGGGAGCTGGCTCGCTCCAGGATCCTCAGGTCATAGTTCTTTTTGGCCACTCGAAGTTTGAAGCGACTCACGGAGTTGTTGAGGCGAAGGGAGGCATTTTGGGCAGCCAGGGGGCTGGGAAACACAGCCACGATGGTGTACAAGGCAGCAAGGTCTGCATGGCGACCATTCTCAGCAGTCCCACTACTGTCCCCCCCGCCCCCAGCAGGCAGCCCCTGAGCATCCTTGAGCCACTGGATCTTGGCGCCGGACATGGCGAGCTGAGTGAAGAGTTTGTCCGCCTCCGTACGAGTGATGCCCTCAGGAAGATCTGTCACCTCCAGCACCCGCCCCAGGACTGGAAAGAGAGGAAAGAGGACATTGTGAGAGGGTTAGAATAGGAAGGACTGAACAGTGACCCAGCAGAGAAGTATTCGGTTGACCAAGTCTACATACAATGTCCTCAAAAGCCCGGCCTTTCCCACTTAGCCCTTTCCTCCTTCTCCAGTCAACCCAATTCCCCACCATCCTGACGCTGATCAAGGCAACTAGAAGAAACTAGGAAACTTCCTCTTCAGCCCAGAGAGGTAGGCAAGAAGAGACTGTTCTCTCATGGAGCTGTTACTGTGAAGGAAGTATGGCTTCTGCTGATGTTCTTTCACGAAGTCAAAGCCTGACCTGAAATATGTCCCACAGATCCCTTCCCAGAGGCTAGCCCAAACAGAGTCTCCATTATCACCCAGGGAAGTCAGTGTCCCCTCCTTTCCTTTTTGGCAAACTGCTCCAAATGGGGGAAATCCCGAGAGATCTGTATACCTAGTATGGAAGGCCTGCAGGAGGAGAGTCACTCCCCCATATTCTCTTGTCAATCTTCTCTTCAATTGGGTATAGGACTACCAAAGGTAGACATCCTAGATTAAAGTCAGGACCACTCCCAGAAGACTCTCAGTTAATAACAGGCCCAACAACCCCCAGCACTGTGTTATTCCCAATTTTTTGGGAATCATTTTCCCAGGATCTGGAATAGTTTGGTAAGGAGAACAAAAATACTTCACTTCTCTAGCTTCTCCTTGTTCTTAGTACAAAGGGCTCCCATTTCCACTCTCCTCCCTAAGCTGGCTTTTCCCAGCCATCCTGGGCTGATAATGTAGGTCTGGAGGGCTGAGCACAGTCTCTTGGGGATTCAGCATCCTGTCACTCACCGACGTCTGTCATCCCCAGGTCAGTGGAGGCAGATTTGAGTGCTTGTCTCTTACTCCGGTTTCCATGCTTCAATCCACTCTGTCCCTTCAACATGGAAAGATAATGCTCATTCTGGGTCGATAACATTGATTGCCTTGCATCCCAATGTCTGTCTGAGAGATTAAGGAGCAGCACCCAAACCTGAGGACCCCATCCCACCAGGCAGTCAGATTGGCCAGCAAGTGGCCACTGAGAAACAAAGAGACCCCCCTCTTGACACTGGAGTGGGGTGGGAAGAATGGGTGCTGGAGTGGGCCCCTTCTACTCTGTCCATTCTCCCTGTTTTGTCTCCCTTGTCTACCCTGCTGTTGAGGTGGATGGCTCAGAGATAGGAGCCTGGATGAGAAGGGGTGTCTGATGGTCCTAAGGCTGATGGGGGACACCCTCACCTGGTGCACTGTGTAAGTCGACTGGCCATGGAGCAAAGGAGGGCAGATGGACAGATTGTACTGTAATGGCTGGCCCAAGAGGGAGTAGCGCCCATCACCTAGGAAGGAAGAGCAGATAGTTTTCTGGGAGTTTGAACTTTATGGTATGATTTTTATAAGATTTCAGGGGGCTTTGGAGATAGATACTGTTTCTACTTTTTCTATTATAGGAGTGCCCATATGACTGATTTAAGAGTTGTCTCTCTCCTAAATCGCTTGGGTCTCAGCTGTATCTCAGACAAATGGGGCTATTAGGTTCCATCATCCTTCAAGGGTTTTGTCTACTGTAGACAAAAGGTCCTGGAGGAAACCTACAGACCCTTATGAATGTGTTTCATTTCTTTTTTTAAAAATATATTTTTATTGATTTCAGAGAGGAAGGGAGAGGGAGAGAGAGATAGAAACATCAATGATGAGAGAAATCATTGAATGACTGCCTCCTGCACACACCCCCGCCCCCTTTACTGGGGATTGAGCCCCCAACCCAGGCATGTGCCCTTAACTGGAATTGAACCTGCAACCCTTCAGTCTGCAGGTTGACACTTTATCCACTGAGCCAAACCAGCCAGGGCATGTTTTTCATTTCTTATATAGATTCTCCCCACCCCTTATCCAGGGATAAATTTTCTGTCTCATGTCAGCATACAGTGTAGCAGGCAAGAGTACAGACTTGGAGCCAGACTGCCTAGGTTCATATCCTGGCTCTGTTACTGAAAATGGAATGTTGGGTATGTTTTCCCCTCATTAGTATTGTTGGGAAGGTTAAATGAATATAAGAAATGTAAAGCACTTACAGCAATGCATGATACATACTAAGCACTATTAGTGTTAGCTATTATTGTTGGTAAATATATTTTAGAGCACTTTAAAGTTTTTAAACTACATTCTCATCTTATTTTTATACTGTTTGTGACAACCAAGGCAGAAAGCAGATAAGATTATTCCCATCATATTTGTGATTAAGGCTATTCTATGGATTAGAAAACTGAGGTCTGGTTCCAAGTTTACGTAACATGTTCAACATCACAAAGCTACTTATTTAAATATGAAGCCAAGTCTTTCAACTCAAACCCAGCATTCCCTCTTCTAAAACTATGCTGTGTCTGACGCAGCCCATACTCCCAGGCCTCAGACTCAGTATTGGGTTGAACTCTTTCGTTCATTAGAAAGTTCAGTGAGCCCTGGCTAGTGTGGCTCAGTTGGTTGAGTGTCATCCCATGCACCAAGAGGTCGCAGGTTTGATTCTGGTCAAGGGCACATGCCTGGATTGTGGGCTCGATCCCCAGTGGGGGACTTGCAGGAGGCAGCCGATCCATGATTCTCTCTCATCATGGATGTTTCTATCTCTCTCTCCCTCTTCCTTCCTTTCTGAAATCAATAAAAATATATTAAAAAAAAAAATAAAGAGGGGCAAGTGTCCTTGGTCTAAACAGGGATGTTAAAATAAGAGTTGGCTCTCCCTGGCCGGGTGGCTTGGTTGGTTGGAGTGTCGTCTTGTACACCAAATGGTTGTGGTTTTGACCCCTGTCGGGGTACATGCAGGAGGCAGCCAATTGATGTTTCTCTCTTACATTGATGTTGCTTGCTCTCTCTCTCTGTACCCCCCCCCCCCAATCAATACATATATCCTTTGGTGAAGATTAAAAACAAAACAAAAAAAAGAGTTGGCTCCCAGAATTGGACGACCAGCCACACTGGCTCCCTGCCTGTTACTACCCTCTCAATCTCTCCACTTGGGAATGGGATGTGAAGGGGAAATCTGACGGCAGTCAGCCCTAATCTGACTCCTTACCCTGTGCTGGACCCCCGGGCCGGGGGAACTGTGTAAGGACGGGAAGGGGACTGAGTCCTGTGCAGACACTGCTGAGGCTGGTGACAGGAGAGGGTGCTGGAGACTGGGTAGGAGATGTGACGGGGCTGCTATTCATTTGTGTGTTGGCCTGTGGGAGAAAAGAGCACACATCACATAAGCACTAAACATTACTCTCTGGATGTTATTTCTATGGCTTGGCTTAAATTCACTTGCCTCAGGAAACTTCTCTTGTTGAACTCTGCCAAAGTCAGGCTGCTCTTTCAAACTGCCCTCTTAGTCCCTAATTAGTATGTATTATTTTAGTATCTACTTTTTGAAATACCATTTTAAGTATCCTCTTAGCATTTTCAAGTATGTGTCCCATCTGCCATCTTAGATCCTAGGTGCTGTGAAATAAGGTGCTCTCCTCTATGTCTTGTGATTTTCCCTAAAAAGAGGCTGCTCAGTCAATGACAAAGATTACTCTCTGAGAAGAATCTGGTCACCTCCTTGCCAGGACTCACCTGCGGGCTACTGTCAGGGTTGTACAGGTCTCCAGGTTTCTGCCCCTGCTGGTCCATGCTTTAGTATTTACAGTGACTCCACTGGACCATGGATGGGTTCTGGGGAGACTGGGGTCCATTAGGGACATTCAGCTGCATGACCACCACACCTGGTCCAGAAGGTGACACTCCTGAGTGGAGGAAGAAATCAATTGGTTCTGAATTCAAATTATATTTTGGCCTGTCAGCCTACTGTGAGCGGGGAAGCTAGTAAACAAATCCACCAACTCTCTTCACGGTCACTTAAACTGTGTCCTGCCAGGAATCTGAGATAGCTGCTGATTTGGTTTCTGACTCCTTCTCCCTAAACCAGTGGCAATTTGAGTGGAAGGGACATAAGTCCCAGATGCCAATGCTTTCCTGGTCTTTACCTGGTGAGGGGCAGAAAACTGCACTATTCTGTCAAGGTTGGGTATTACCAAATGCCTGAGTTAGATTGCTCAAACGTCTGGGCACAGTACAGGTCCCAGTCTGGCACTGGGGCCAGAACTGTAGGCACGTGCAGGCTTTTCTGGTAATAGCTGTAGATAAGCCAGCAATCTCTGGTTGTTCTAGAGAAGATGAATGCACTCAGCTTTACTAAGCCAGACCCAAAAGGTACTTTTGGGGCAAGGGTGGGATGAGTTGGAAACATTTCAAGCAGCGATGTATGTCATATTCAGGAAATGGCAAACAATTCAAGGTGCTGAGGCAAATGGGCTATGTAGGGGAAGTAGTAGGAGATGAGATACGTTTATTTATTCAGCAAACATTTACTGAACATTTACTATGTACCTATGTTCCTATGCTTGGCACAGGGTGTAGAGCAAACAAAACGGGTTCCTGATCCTAGTGGTTAGAGCATTGGCCTGCAGACTGAAGCATTCCAGGTTCTATTCTAGTCAAGGGCATGTACCTCGTTGCAGGCTTGATCCTCAGCCCTGGTCAGGGCATGTGGGAAGCAACCAATTGATGTGTCTGTCTCACATGGATGCTTCTCTCTCTCTGTCTTTCCCTCTCCCTTCTACTCTCTCTAAAAATCAATGGAAAAAATATCCTCAGGTGAGGAATAACAACAACAACAAAACAAGCAAACAAAAAACTGGTTCCTGCTCTCATGGAATGGACAGTCTATCAGGGAGTCAGACAGTTAAGAGTTTAAAGCACATTCTGGTGAGGGTCTTTATCCTGTAGGGGCTGGGCACAGGACCTGTGCTTCCGAGAGCTAACTCAAGTGGCTGAATGTAAGATGGCTAAAGGGAGGGAGACACTAGTGGCAGGAAGACTAGTTAGGAACCTCTGCAAACCAAATGAGGAGGTTTGGAATCAGGCAGTGACAGCAGGAATGGAGTGGGAGGGTCAGATCCTCTCTGAAGGGGTTTCACTGACAGGTTCAGGTGACTGGCTGGATATGATCCTGAGGTTTTAGCACAGGCAACCATGGATAGCCTAACCTTCTCACAGGCTGAGGGGAAGAAAGGGCTCAATGAGGAGGAACATTAAGTCCTGAATCTTCATGGTGAAAAGCAGGGTAAGGGGTCAAGGAGCAATTTGATAGACAGTCCCTGCTGGGAGGGACGGGAAAGAGCTCTGCTTCCCCAGGGGGAATTGTCCAGTGTGCGGGTTTGCTCTTGACCTCACAGGATGTATTTCTGTAGAAGACAGGCTAAGTCCATGTGTATGTGGTGGTAGAGAAATGGGACTGGGGCTTGCTCGCTCAAAAACCTGCTGCAATGCTGCAGTTGTCATGGCTCGGTGCTCTGGGGCTGCCACTGCCATCGCCATCACATTGCTTCCTGTGATGGGAAATGTTGCAGCCTCTGCCCTGGGCACCAGTCCTGCTGGGAAGTAAGTGTGATTGCTTTTCTCAGGTAGCACCAGTCAAAGGAAAGGAAAAGAAACAGCAGGAGGCCTGAGAGCAGTTCAGGAGACACAGCATCTGTTGTATCCTATTCCCCAGTCAATTTGTGCCCCCTGCCCAGGGTTCATCTAATCAAAGAGCACAAATACTCAGAGGGACAGGCTGGCACCTCCCATCTCTTGCCAAGTGGGACAGGGTCATCAGCACGGCTTGTAGAACCACAGGAAAATTGCACAGCTGTGGAATGTCAGACATTTAAGAACTCCTCCCGCCCTGGCCGGTTTGGCTCAGTGGAGCGTCGGCCTGCGGACTGAAGGGTCCCAGGTTCGATTCCGGTCAAGGGGCATGTACCTTGATTGCGGGAACATCCCCAGTGGGAGGTGTGTAGGAGGCAGCTGATCGATGTTTCTCTCTCATCGATGTTTCTAACTCTCTATCCCTCTCCCTTCCTCTCTGTAAAAAATCAGTAAAATATATTAAAAAAAAAAAAAAAGAACTCCTCCCTTACTCTAGTTGCTTTGGGCATTTTATTTCCCTGTCCTAAGAGCCCCACCTGCTCCAACATCTTCTACCAACAAAATTGCAATTGACCTTATTCAAACATCTCATTGCTACCTGAGGGGGCCAAGGTAAAAATAATCAAATCTACGGCTTTTCTGGAAGGCAGTTCATAATCTGAGCCTAATGCCCTGGGTCAGGAAAGAATGGAGGATGTGTGAGTGTGTAGGATGTGAGCATATACAAGGTGGTGAAAGCTCTTTCTAATTGCAACATGTAGCCATAGGAGCAATTAGGTGGCTCAATGGGAGTGGAAAGAGAATGAAGTCCTGGTATTATTTTCTCTGATTCCCAACAAAAACACAGCTAGGGTGATCAGTCACAGCTTCAGCCCTCCCCACAGTGAGTCTTTCCCCTCCTTCCCTGCTGGCCTGCAGCATTGTTCCTTCACTCAGCCGAGGACACAGAGCACTACTTGGCTGATGAGCTGATTTTTATGCTTCTTTTTCTCAAGCCCAAAGCAAGTGGCATCCGTTAGCAGCTGAACTGTCGCTACTTTCTTAATGGACATGGCGATAACCCCCCCTCTCCCCGGCCCCCCGCCAAAAAAAAAAAACCCCACCTCACGGCCCAGTGACAGCACTTCTATATAATCAGATTGGAGGAAGAAGCCAGTGTTGGAGTGGGAAGGGGGAGAAGGGCGTTGAATAAGGAAATCAATTTCAGCTTGAAAGCTCTGAAAGGAGAGGGGACGTGTGAATGGCTCTTTAAGTGGCATCATTAAACCTGGGCAGAAAGGTCGATTGGGCAGAGCAAACCACATAAATACAAACAGATGACATTTATGTCTGGCAGAATTGGTTTTTGTTTAGTTGGTTTTTTTGAAATCACTGAGGTAGAAGACTGATAAGGCTTCTTCCTTACCACCAGGAATCAAATCTATGGACAGGAATGGTGAGAGAAATAAAATCCATAGCATCTTTCCAAAATTACAGAATAGAATACAACAGTATCTGGTTTTTTTTCCTTTTTTGGTCGGGGAGAGGGATTTCTTCAGGGAGTGAGAGAGAAAACAGTCTCAGCCTTGGTAAACCCTCAGCCACAAAGCGAGCCAGTGAGTATGTGGGAGGCTATGTCTGTCTGTGCCTTGCCTGGCCACGCTGCTGTGTCACTGTGAGTGGGAGTCTGGGTACAGGTCTCACTGCCATTTTATGTCTGTGTGCGTCTTCCCCAGACCAGCACCTCTGTAGAAACCTTAAGAGACTTGCAAGCCATCATTTTAGTGGAAAGAAAGTTGATTCCTGGGGTTATAGTTATGTCTAAGATCATAGTGGAGGAATTAAGATCCAGGCCTGGGGGTAAATTGGGCAACTACAAAAATGTATTAATAAACCAGAACAGTTGTTCCAGGAACAGTCAACCCTAATCCCTGCCTTTATTTTTGGAAAAGTGACCATGTTGCTTCATGGGAGAAGGGCGGGTAACTGTCCTCTGAAGGTGACATAGAGCCCTTGTGGGCTATGCAGGTCTTCTATCCTCCCAGTAAAGGGTAAAACGGAAAGGAAGACAGAAGAGGTACTTTTATTCCACTTCCTCTTAGATTTTTATGAGCAGGGATTGAAGACTTTTAAAATCAGTGGTATTGTGAATATGGTCTCTTAGATGTGGGTGGAACAGAGGGTCCTATCATCTAGGAAAATCCAGAAGCCTAGGATCAAGCAGGGAAGAAAAGAATTATAACAGAAAATTCTGAAGAAGCAAGGGAACTAGATGATAAAGTGGGTTTCCTCCATTTCTATTGATTAGGGAAGAGCCTGATCACCTCCTTCCAATCCCAGCCCAGATCTCTAAGTGCTGCCAACTTTCAGAATAGCTGTTTCAGTTTATTTAGCCCAGCATCAGGTCCAGAGGAGGTAATGAAAAATTCTTTCACCTGGTTTGTTTCATATTCAAAGACCTTATATTTGAAGATGAACAGATATATAATCATAGAGACCCAATAGATATACTGATACCAGCAAGGATAGTATATACATATGCACACATTTACTTTTAACAAATAAGAGAGAAAATGCCCTGTGGTATCAAGCACCACCAAAGGCTACAGTGGTTCTTGGAGCTGGTTTCTACAGTTTCCATACCCTGATGGGAATGTCAAGGTCAAGTGCTCCTGGGGATACTACGAGAAACAGCTAGAGAGACCAATCCTATATAATAAAAGCCTAATATGCTAAGTGTCTGGTCATCCATTCACCCAATCAAAGCATAATATGCTAATGATATGCTAAGGCCGCTCAACAGCTCGCTATGATGTGCATTGACCACCAGGGGGCAGACGCTCAGACCGGTAGGTTAGCTTGCTGCTGGGGTCCAGCCCATCGGAACTGAGAGAGATGGGCCAGACACATCCTGGAACCCTCCTGCAGTCCCTCCCCAGCTGGCCAACCTCCCGCGTCCCTCCTCGGCCCCAATTGTGCACCCGTGGGGTCCCTCGGCCTGGCCTGCACCCTCTTGCAATCCAGGACACCTCGGGGGATGTCGGAGAACCAGTTTCAGCCCGATCCCGCTGGCCAGGCCAAGGGACCCCACTGGTGCACGAATTTGTGCACCAGGCCTCTAGTAATATAATAAAAGGTAAGGGCTGTTGAATTTAAAATCTCTCAGCCTGTGAGAGATCCATGTTTGGTCTGGAAAAAGTCATTGCTCCTTGAAGGTAACAACTGATTCTGTCTTATGAGCAAAATTAATTCTGGAATCCACTCTCCAGAACCTAACATGAGTATAAAATATGTTATGTGAAAAATAGTACATTTCTAAATGGAGAAATTGGCAAAAATACCTCCCTCTCCCCAGCAGAGGGCACTCGGATATTCCCACAATAGAAGTACATTAAGACCTCCTGCCTTCCAGAACCCCTTTAGTTTCTTTAACTGCAGTGTAAAACTATGTTAGGGTGGGATGAAAGGGAAAGAAACAAGGGCAGCTGCACTTAGTGTACTGGGGGAGTTCTTGGCAAAGGCAGACAGTGAAAGGCTGCATGACACAAGCCTGTTCACCTGGGAGAGTACAGAAGCCTATTGAAAATGTGTTATTGAGAATGCAGCATAGGATGTAGAAATTCAAAAGACCAAAGTTCAAGTTCTAGGACTATGACTTTAGGCAAGTCATTTATCCTTTCAGGCTTAAATTTCCCCTTCATGAAGTTGTAGTAAGAATTAAAATGATAAAATGTATGTGATCACATACAAAAAACTGCTAAACAAATCTAAGATACGACTTAAAAAGCATTTTATCAGCCTTGCTCACACTCCTAAGAGGGGGGAAAAAAAGCTGTCATAGGAAGAATTCGTGTAGGAGACAGAGGTAAGCACTTCATGTCTCAAACGCATGTGGTAAATGTAATGGTGAATTCAGAAAAAGGAAAATAAAACAAAATACGAAGGAAAGAAACAATGAACCCAATCAGACTTGTGGCTGCCCAGGGATGGGGCAACCAACCTCACCTTTCTTGAGAGGTCAACTTCAGCACCCCTGGAAAACACCAGCCAGGATTTTGGCCTTTCTTCCTGATGGGGTCACACCATCCCTGAACTCTCTCTACCCTTCCCAGATCTAGAGCAGCATTTGCTCTTGCCAGTGCCCAAGACCACTCCCCCCGCCTGCCTCCCTCCGGCCTCCCAGCCCCGGCAATTTTTATCATCTTACCTGAGAACTGCTGTGGCATCTGTGGTGGGCTGCAGGGAGAGGGAGACTGAGGCATCTGGTACTGCTCAGAGCCAGGAGGCTGCAGAAATCCCACAGAAGGGCTGGGGAAATAGAGAAGAGAGGAGTGTTAAAGAGGTAGAGGGAGGAACACAGCTCATGGCAAACAGCTGCTGCTGCCCGGGCCTCCCCTATGGGAAGCAGAGGCAGCTCCAAGCCATTTCCAAACCAATTTGCCATGCAATTTCTAAAATCACTAATCAGTTCAAAGTTAATTATATATATTTGTACTTGATCATCTTTCAATTAGGAAGCTGCTAATCAGTGCTACAGATGGAATGTCAGTGACACATGCTCTTCCTAACAGTGTGGAAACACCAGATACATACATGTGCATACATGCACACAACACAAATACACGCACACTCTGATAAACATAATAGACACACAGACAAAGAGAGTGCCAGAGACAGATATACAGTGCAAGAGAGAGATGGGTAAGAAAGAACTATGGAGATGTATGATTTAGGATATTTACACAATGGCAAACACAGATAGTCACCTGAAGACAAATAGGGAAAAACCCCCATGAAGCTCAAGACAACAGGAGACATACATATAAAAAGACATAAATAAACATATACACACTGAGAGACACACACAGAGATACCTGCAAGTAGGCCCAGACTTGAGTTCTAGTTCCAGCTCTGCTTTTAACTAGTTGTATGACTTTGGGTAAGTTCCTTAATATCCCTAGCTAGAACTTCTTCATTTATTAAAAAAAGGGAGAGCCCAGCTGGTGTGCGTCATAGGTTGAGTGTTGACCTATGAACTGGAAGGTCGAGGTTAGATTCCCGGTCAGGGCACAGGCTGCGGACTTGATCCCCAGAATGGGGTGTGCAGGAGGCAGCCGATCGATGATTATCTCATCGTTGATATTTCTGTCTCTCTCTCCCTCTCCCTTCCTCTCTGAAATCAGTAAAACAGTATTTTTAAAAATTGAGAAAAATAAAACAAGGGACGTGGACTAGATATTTCTAAGGTACTTTCTACCTCTAAAATTATATCAGCTATGGTCTATCCTAAGATACATATAAATAGACCATGTGAGATTCATCCATGGATATAAACAGAGGTATGCAGAAA